ATTCAATTAAAAAATTTCGTCCACCGCTACATCACCTCTATAATATATCAAATATTATGTACGTATGGATAATTTAAAGCATTAAGGGATACCTATGTGTAAAATTTTCAAACTATCCAATATATACACATAATTGAAAAAAAAATGATGACCGTGAGTAACATAATTAGTGAAATCCAACCCAAATTTATTATCTAGCCCTTGAAGGGTTTGCTGGTGGGCTTGAGGCTCCAAGTCCTCGTTGGAACATGCCATCTGTGTAGGAGGATTGCTCAGAAACCCTAAAGTGGTGGCGTCGCTCTCTCTATATGAATATGAGAATAACTTCAGTATTAATCATATATTAATATTTATTTAGTAATTATAATTTTTAACTAATAAAAATGAATCATATCGATATATATAATAGATACAGACGTATAATTACATGAAAAGACTGGAATTAATGAAATTAAGTTATTTCAAAAGTTTGAAAAATTAATTGATTAAAGCAAATCAAATAAATAAACTTAAGTAATCTGGCTTTCGACTGTGATAAAGTTCAAACCAATTAAATCAGCCTTCCGGTTCCTCAACCACTACCCTTTAATTTCAATCAGCAACTAACGATTATCTTTTACTTAAATAAAACCAATCTAATTGAACAAATTTTGATAGTATCTTTCTAATTTTGATTTTTTTATTAGTTAGATTGATTAATGTTTCCAAGAAAATTTATAAGTATAATTATTAATTATAGGTGCATGGACGAAGCCAAAAAAACACATTTTAGGAAGCAAGATAAATTTTTAAATATAATTAGTTTAAAACGTGTCATTTTTTAGGGATCAAAACTATTTTATTACAATCTTAAATTTAAAATTTATAAGAAATAAAAACAAAATTTTATGATTAGTGGGAGACCAAAGCCCCTGCCAAGTGCCAATGACAGCCCTATTTTCTCCGTCCTTATAGGTAATTCATAAAATAATAAATGTCAAAATACTCATAATAAAATCAATATAAAATACTCGTATTAAAAATTAAATGATATCCAAAATTTAGTCAAAATATATTTAAATAAAACCTAGAAAGCCAATTCCAACTTAAATTTCAAAGAAAGACTTGTATAATATCAAATAAAAAAATATTTAGGAATCAAAATTTAATTTAAATAATAATTAAACTACGGAGGATTCTAATTTGAACTAGACCAACATATTTGAGCCATTCCGTCTCTCATTATCTATTTAATTCGTCCATATATTTAAAAGTTACGATGAACCGACTGTTTTAAATTTTAAAATTTGTAAATAAATAAATTTAACGAACCGATTTTTTAGTTTTTAAGGGTTGAATGTAATTATGTAAGATAAATTCCACCGCTAATTATTAAATTATGAGGGTATTTTGTTTTAGAGGTGGTTGATTAATATTTAATTAGCCTGTATTTTGTTTCCTAGACAAAGTTAAGAGTCTGGCACTTGCCCAATTGAATTGCAAATAGATATTTGCATAAAAGTATTTTAATATTTAAAGCCTGGCACTCGTCCCATTGGATGCACAAGCACAGAAGTGTATTTAAATTCATCTATTGAATTCAAAATTTTTATGTTTTTACTTAAAATATTTTTTAGGGTAAACTATACGAATAGTCCCTATTATTTAGAGTTTGACCGATTTTGGTCACCAATTAAAAATTTAAGGGTAAATGGTCCCTCACATTATCGGTCCGTCCGATTTAAATATCTCTGCTATTAATTTTTGTTAATCTCTTTTTTGAAGTCCTTAACATGGTTGAGAGACTAAAATCGAACAGGAGTTAACACTTAAGGGATTAAAATTGAATGGATCGATAACATTAAAAACTAAAATCAAACTAATTGATAAAGTTAGGGACAATTCCCCCTTAAAATTTAAAGTCATGACCAAAATCGGTTAGGCTGAAAACATAAGGGACTATTCACGTAGTTTACTCTATTTTTAAATATGGAATCATTATTTAACGACAATGATTAAAATGAGGGTTTTTCAATTTCAGTGACTAAAGTGCAAGTACCATAATAGTCCGTTACTATTAGAGTAATTCACCCTAAATTAAACTCATACGTTTGGAGTTGGTCAAATTCTAAAATAAGAAAATTAGGTTATACTAAGTTGTTAATGAATGCCCTTAACAGTTGTACTATAGTTGTTCGGAATTAATATTTTTTTTAATTCAATGTATTTCAAAACTATATAGAGTCTAGCTAGAGTTTATTGTCGTTTTCTATATTGAATACTGAAACAATATTTCATTAAAAAAATTCACGACCGTACAAATAATTATCAAGTCACCATCAAGTGGGAAGCTTCATGGAAAATTTCCTAGAGAAAATCTCATGGAAAATGGAAACTGAAAAGTGAATTCAAACCAGAAATCAATAAACAGACTTTGCAAGAATGCGTTTTTATGGAAATATCATCCTCATATCTATTAATTATCAATCACACATTTTTTTCTCCTAATATTATTAATTAAAAATTCTTTCTAACAAAGTACGGATTACTATGTGTCTTCGTGGGGTTTTATTCTTTAACATATACGGAAGACGTAAATCATGATGTGCACCTTCTATGGAAAATGTTAACATGACTCCACGTGAGAAGGCGCGTTGTAAGGGACACATTCTAAAATCCACATAATTTCTAAAAGCATTTTAAAAATATATACTTTAAAAAAATAAAAAAATAAAAACTATAAGGACTAACATCATAATTTAATGCATATTAGTTCTATGAGTTTAAAAGCTTAATGGGTTTAGCTTATATAGACATATTTGAGTGTTTAGGTTATGTTTATTGACAATGTAAGATAAAAGCTAAAATGTGTACTTCTTAACTTTTTTATCTTTATATTTAATTAATCTACTTATATATTATTGTTAAATTACATTAGGTTAATATTTATTATTAATGTTTATATTAATTAAGATTATATATATTTTTATATGTTAATATATTTAAATAATTACATTAGGTTAATATTTATTATTAAGGTTTATACTAAATTAAATTTTAAAACTAATATATATCAAAGGGGAAACGATATACTTATGTAAGATCGAGTATAAGATTAATTATATTCGGGCGGCTCAAACGCCTTAAAATATTGTATGTTTTTTTGTTTTAAATTTAGGTTACGAGATAATAGGTAATTTTCATGTAATTTCTTTAATTATGTGTTTTTGATGTAGTAATTTGAGATCAAATAAGCTACAAGATGTTTTTCCTTATGAAATTGGTGAGCTTAAGAGTCTAACACATCTGTAAGAAGTACCTGGAAGTATGTTTTTTCACGTTATGATAATCAAGATTGTTACTTTATACTAACAAAAAAATTGATTAGGTATATGAGCTTCAACAATTTTAAAGGGGAGATCCCAAAGGAGTTAACAATAGTGTATAAGTAGGTTCATTAGATATAGAGATAAAAAAGTTAAGAATATACCTTTAAACTTTTATCTCACATTATTAAGAAATATAATTTAAACACTCTAATATGCCTATATAAGCTAATCTCATTAAACTATTCAACTCATTGAACTAATATGTATTAAATTATGATACTAGCCCCTATAATTTTATTTTTTTTTAATTTTTTAAAGTATATTTTTTAAATGATTTGAGGGTTGATGTGGATCTTGGAAGGTGTGCTTCATGATTTGTGTATTTCGAATATGTCAGAGGTTCAGCGAAGACGCAGATGACGATTCGGGTCTTTCTTTACGCGACGCCAACTCGAACATAACCCTACAAAAATATAAATGGTGATTCGTACTTTGTCAGAATAGGTGCTATATGATCCTAGGGTGATATTTCTGTAAAAAGCCTCGGAAGTAATGGACATTGAAATTTTAAAACTCAAATACCACAAATTCATTTATTACAATTCTTGACATCATCAGTTTTGAACAAGGGAAGCTTTTCTTTCCCCACAGATTAAATCAGCAAAGATGGGAGAAATCATGTCCGAACAACTAGTTTCTGAGTTTCAATAAGCCTTCTGTCTCTTTGACAAAGATGGAGATGGTAAATTTTTTGATTCGATAATAATGTCCGAATTACTTGTTTTACAGGCTGCATAACGATGGAAGAACTAGCCATTGCAATCAAGTCATTGAATCCGAATCCAACGGAAGAAGAGCTCCAGAACATGATCAATGAAGTTGATACTAATGGAAATGGAACTATTGAATTCGGGGAATTCCTGAATCTCATGGCAAGAAAAATGAAGGTGATTCATTAACCTATCTCCAGGTAAGACCTATCACACTACAACTTCGTAAAAAGGTTTTTTGTCGTCGGAAAAATAAATATTTCCGATGATTTATTTTCTAACAAAGAAATATTATACGATTATTTTTTATTTTTTATTTTACAACAGGAAGCTGAAGCAGATGATGAACTGAGAGAAGCTTTCAGGGTATTTGACAAAGATCAAGATGGCTACATATCACCTCATGAGGTAGGTTAATTCTTGTGTTCGTGTCGTGTTTTCTTTTCCTGTATTACATATGATTATCATACTGTTTTTTTTATTATTATTAAAAATTGCATCGGAACTAACAGATGAAGAGTTAGAGCAGATGATCAGAGAAGCTGATTTGGATGGAGATGGTCAAGTTAATTATGAAGAATTCGTCAGAATGATGTTGGAAGCTGCTTGATATTCAAGTTCAGTTTTATTCACCCAATATAACTTTTTAGATTGTAATGAATACATAAAATATATGTTATCCTTAAACTCGAATTAAGAGTATATATATTTATTGATTGATAGGGAGGGCTAATCAGGGAATATATTTCATAAGATTATTTTGATAAAATTATAGAACAAAAATAATATATATATTTTGAGTCATAAAGGTGCATTTTCTTCATAATGACACGATTAACATGAATTTAACTACCAACTTTTTCCAGCCATCCATATGCCTTCATTTAATTCTAAAACAGCAAAGTGTTTATATGAATTTGGATGTCAAAAGCTGATGCTGCCACATAAATATAGCATTTTCCTTCAGAATTTAGGTGCTGTATTTTTCTCAGCAGAGTAACTCAGTCCAAAACTAGATGAAGAAATGGAAATCAATGTCTATAGTATCCCAGGCCATAAGGGTTCATCCATGTTCTTGCTCTTCCTCCACCTCCTTTCAGGGTTAATGATCCTCGATCTTCTTCAACCCCTTCATGTCCGTCGTTTCCACCCTGCATTGAAAACATGACATTTAGGCGTATATAATGAGAACAAGGGGGGGAAAGTTCATTGCACTTTTCTTTTGTTCTAATCCCTAAGCTAACGATTATACTATGCATTTACGATAAATTTAGTATAAGGGAAACCGGCAGGTACAAGGTGCATATTTTAACGCCGAAGTTAAAGAAATTCATTCATGAAACCACATTAAAGATGAGAACACGCTAAAGTCTGTAAAGATTAGAAGTCAAAGCCTAGAAGAAGAACCGGCTGAAAAAACGTATAAACCCACCTATCAAAAATAATATCCAACAAAAGCAATGAAGCAAACAAATCCTCTGGGAGGATAGGTATCCTTGATTCTAAGGTGATCATTGTTGCATATGGACCAAAAAGAAAACAGCGGAGCTAGTTACTAACATGCAAAAAGGGCGGTATATGCTTATAACAAATTACACCATGCTCGGCTCTGTTTTGCTTTGCTCGTTTTAGGTAATGTCAAAAAAGCTCTTGATTCAAGTAGTTCTCAAATTTGGAAAAGTCGGGCGAGAAAATTACCCATTTTCTTTACTAGTAACAAGCAACACACACTCAATACTCTGAAAATGAGTTCACAAGAGGTGACTAAAACATAAGTTTATGCCCCAAACATGTAAATAATAAACACACCCCTTGTATGGTAAGAAGGAACTAGGAAATTATAAAACCATGATTGTAGTATATGATAATAAACAATGAAGTGAAGTAGGAAGTACAATAATAAAAAACGTACGTTGATCCATACAAAGCAATCTTCTGAACCTTTGTGATCTCCGAACTCGACTGATTGTCTTCAATAAATATTGTCAAGCTGGTAAAGAAAAGTAATATTAACAATATTTTACTTAATGTTACGATAAAGACCAAATGAAGAACGTCAAGTACACAAAATATATTCGTACCTACGGACATTCTGAAACTTGACATACTTCAAGACTACTGGTTTCCCCTGAAAAGAGGAAGAGATGGTGAACGTTATGAGATTTATCAATTCACGGTGATTTCTTAAAATACCCTTATTTCCAGACAATGGAAAGACAGACAAAGAAGAGCCACCTTTAGATTATCAGGGGATAAAACAGCAGTGTCACTTGGAGGGAAGTCACTGACATTACTGCATTATGTAAAGCGAAACATACTCCCCAGTGAAATGTTAAGCGCTTAAAATGGATAAACAATTTGCTAGAATGTAATAATGCTGTTGACCTTACCTAAACCCCATATGTTCCCTGTTAGCAAAAAGTTTCACCGTCTTTGGACCTGAAAAGACAATCTTTGTGTTCAAATACTACAACATTGGACAACATCAAAGGTAATTCCAATAGAGGGCAACTTGAAACAATCATGCATCAACGGATAAGCCAATAGGACTTTGCTTCTATGTGATTGCATTCAAGATTTATGAAGGTAAGGATATAAAAAACATTACCTTCCTCTTCGGATCCCGTGACTACAATGGAATGTAGTTTAATGACTTGCGTGAAAGGGATATAAATCAGAAGTTGCTCATCGGCATCACTCTCTAGGTTCAAACCTTCATCTTCTCTATAACCCTAACTCATGAGCATAAAATTGAACGATTTCATGATAATAAAATTCCAGAGAAGCATCTTAATTAGCAAAATCAATACATGATCTTTACAATGTTGAGTCGACTAAACCTAAAATCAATGTTTATAAAGAACTTCTAAACCCATTAGTTCCCCACACAATAAAGTAAGCTTATCAGCCTGATTAATTCAATAACAAATGAAAACCAGCCATTATTAAGAGAAACAAGAACAGGTTGAAGATATTTACCTGCTTGAGAGCATTGGACAAAGAGTGACTGGAGCTTTGATTAAGGCATTCAAGTCCAGACCAATCAATAAAATCCAAGAGATCAACCTAATTATAAAAAAAGGTTCCCAGATAATCAAGTTAATACAAAATTTCAAGAATCCCCCTTTGGATTAGCCCTCAAATACACAAAAGGCGAAATATTTCAATAATACAAAGAAAAAAGAAAGGAACTTTTCAGATAAAGAACATCATCCAAAATATACTTATTCCTATTTTCCATAAAAAAAAATCAAAATTTCTCAAAAACCAAACAAAAGGGTATCCGTAAAGTAAAGAACTCTGAAGACAGGAAGACTCACTTGGTTCTTTTGAATCGAGGTAGCTGATTCAGCAGCCGACATGGTTTACGAGTTTAACGAGATTGATGAACCTGAGAAAGAAAAATCGGAGAGAGAGTTAATTAAGAAGAGAGATCTCAGGACAAAAAAATGGTGAATAATAGGAAAAGACGAAACTGGAATAAGCTTTTGATACGTCGTCGTTTAAAGTGTTTTATTTAAAATTAAATACAAATACGTCTGGTTTTCGACATATTTATCCCTCAAATATAAAGAAGAAGAAGAAAAAAGTAAATTTAAAAATAGTTCAAATTCGAGATTTAGATGTCAACGAAAGAAAAAGAAAACAAATTTTAAAATACTAATAATCATAATAAACTGTAAAACAGATGTAAAAAAAGAGAGTTAAATAATTAAAATTCAAAAATTAAAACTTGGCTTGTATTACTTTGAATTGCTGGGTTACGAGTACGGCCCAAATCTACCTCACAGTCCTTTACGAAAGTGAGTTGTGCACTTCGGCTCATCAGTGTGTTCTTAATCTTCCAATTAAGCCCAAATAAATTAAGGCAATTTTCGTGACATTTTCAAAGGGTAAAAAAATTTCTTTTAGTTACTACGTATGATTTATTTATAATAATATAATTAGTATTGATAATTGTACACTTATTAACTAACCTCCAACTAATTAACAAAATCCTTGCATGCTTTACACCAAAGAATGGATGATGGTTTAAGAAAAACAAAAGGAGGGAATCATAGAGGCCATGATTAACGACAACAGCTAAGTGAATATTTCTAAGTTGTAATAAAAGATTCCCCTCCAATTATTACTAAAACCTTTTTCATATTCATTTGTCTCTTGTTTGACTCATTCCTCTCTTTTGTTCCCATTCCATTAGTGGATTAGTGGCTACCTACTTGATTTATTTAAAAAAATTAATATAAAATTAAAGTATTTGCCTCAGCTTTTTACTTCTAAAATTCAAATAAAAATTTGGTTTATATCTTCGTGAAAGTAGAAATAAAATTAACATTTTTAAAAATATTTAATATTTTAACATAATAGATTTGTTTGGGTCTAAATGACATTTTCATAAATAGAGTCGGATTCTATCTATATTTTCAGTATCATGTTTAGGGATGAGAAGTCCTCTACATGTACTTTATCTAGGAGGGATCTCATTTGACCTGATATTATAGATTAAAATTCGCATCCAAATCTATCTAAATATATATTATTTAAATTTTATCACGCAAAATAAGGTCCAGATTAGAAAAAAATAAAACAAAAGAGGTATTATTGTAATTATTCTTAAATGTATTCAAGAACAATTGTAATGTTATATCGACTCAAATTGAGTCAAATTTTTTCATCCTAAATCCGAACTTGATCCGATCATATCATAAAAATCTAACTTAATCCGCCTCAAATTTTCGTAATAAAAGACCGATCAAACAGAATCGAATCAGATCATAACTTGTGAAATGGCCATCTCTAATCATACTATTTAATAATTTTTCATATTTAATCAATATTCCTATTAGTTAATATAACTTGCTTGTGCATCTACCACTAACCTCTCTAGTTTCTATTTCATAAAGAAATAAGAAATTTTGGTAATGAAATACCACTTTCCATATATCTGTAATAATTTTAGAAAAAGAAGTGGTCATAAATATTTGCTTCATATAGGTCTGCCTTAAAAGCGCAACACATTATCACGAGCAAAGTTGTTGAGATATCGACTCTTTCCAACATAAAAGAGTTAAAGCTTTTCATCAAACACTTGATGGGCAAGGCATCTTATTAAATATGTTTGGTTTCTTTTTCTACTTCAATATGCTTCCCAATTTTTTCATTTACTTTTTGAAAAACATAAATGAAAATTATATAATGACTTATTTAGGTAGGAAATTTGATTATTGGATGTAATGAAAACATAAATTTTATTTTTTATATAGAATAATTAAAAAGAAATTCTCCAAACTATTATTGCCTGGATCTCCTGCCATATTAAGTTTTGTGAATAAAAAATGTGTGCCGACATAAATGATATTAACTGGATTAGAAGGGTAGCATATTTACATAAATGGTTCATTACAAAGTACCGTGTATATATAACGTATATTTATATATTTATGAGAGAGGTTCACTTATAAGTAGGACCTAAAAAATATCCGATTCAAAAAAAAATTTATCCGTCGACTTGGTATATAACTATCGGATACTTTACAGATAAGTACCCGATTTTACGGTTTGGATACTCAATCCGTTATTCTTAGTAGGTTTTCGGATCGTGTCCGGGTCACAAAATTATCCTAAATTGAGTATCTGTCGACCCACCTACTGGTTCCTCTTTTCTTATTTTCTTATTATTTTTTATTTTAAATTAGACTATTCATTTCTAATTTCAAAATTATTTTACTTAACATTCTAAATCTATATATTTTCAAATTATTTCACCTTAACATTTAATTTTTCTTAAATTGTTTCTTTTAATCTCGAATTATTTTGAATTTAATTGTAATTTTATAATGTTATTTTATTTTTTTTGTATTTTTAAATTCTAATTTTTAATTATATAATTTAGATTTATAAATTTTATGTTTATGATATGTTAAGTTTTTCTGATGCGGGTTTTTAAAAAAATATATATTTATATAAGTACCTAAATTTGAACACCCTGCTTATAAGTAAAAACTTAAGTCAATTATATATATTATAAGATTTTTATAATTAAAATTTGGGTAAACTATATGTTTACTACTTAAACTATTATTTTTATTTCATATTTGATACCTAAACTTTATTTTATTTTCAAAACTATACTTAACGTTTTATGTTTCAATTTGATATCATATCAATAAAAATTGATAGAATTGTTGACACGACATTTTTTATTTCCAATGATGATGTGACATTAACTTATGGTAAAATGTTAACATCACCGTTAAGTTTTTAATGGTGAGATACCAAATTGAAACATAAATGAAACATTAGGTATTGTTTTAAAAAATAGGTATTAAAATGAAACAAAATTGATGATTTAAGTATTAAACATGTAATTTACCCTTAATACTTTAACAATCATAAGTTTTTTTTATAATTATAAACATATATATTCTTATCTGTAACTCAACACGTAAAATAGGTTAGTAAATAAAATACGTTTATTTTGTATCGTAAAATAAGTTAGTATATAAAATACGTTCATCTTATTTATGAATTATCAAATGCGTACTTTTATGATTTTATGTTTAAGGAATATTTAAAAAAAATAAAAAATATTATAATATTTTTATTGAATTCTTTTTAAAATAATTAATAATTTATCATTTTTAACTTATGATATTATTTTAAAAAATATATAGTATTCTTAGTACTTTTCTCTTTTTTAAAACTTATTTTTTTTTATTTTGAGTATTTTTTAATATTTTAAATTTAAATAATTTTATGTTTTTCTTAAGAATTAAATAAATCCTTTAATTTTTGTAAAATTTTAACGAACTCTCAATTTATTAAAAGATATAATTAACTTCTCTATTGCATCATCATCATTGTAAATTGTTACAACAGACTTATAGACTATTATACTAACATCGTAAGCCATGTAACCATAAACTTTAAATTCTATTAATCAAAGGTTATTAATTTTTTTCTCATTTCAAAGATTACATTAGATGCAAAATAAATTAAGGTCCTATATTGATTTTTTAACAAAAGTTTGATGGCTTTAGGTAGAATTAAACTTTTAATAAATTAACGGAGGATGAAAACGCGCCGGATAATAGGCTTTCGTGATTGCAGATCAAGCGAAACAAGTTTTGGGCCCACCTTGTCCCCCTTTGTCGGTCCTCAACTCTTCTACCCTTAATGACTTAAAAATTAAAATTAAAATTAAAATAATAAAAATAATTTGCATGCTTTATGAATCTCACATTAATTTAAAGATTTAAGTATGTATTATCTTTTAGTTATTGTTGTATATTCTATTATATTTAAAAGTAAATTATTTAATGCTATATTTTATAATATTTATGATGTAAATGTATTAAAATATTTAATGTATAAAAATATATTATAATATAAAATTTAAATTTGATTAATATTATTTAAATTCATAATATTGTATTAAAAGATATAATTAATAAATTTATTAATATATCAAATAAAAATATTTTTATATGAATTTTGCTGAGTGATCTATCTAAAGTTTTATATGGTAAGATTTTGACTGCATTGAAACATATATATTGAATTTTTACATTAAATAATAAATGATATAGCTAATTAATCTCAAACACATTAACTTAAAATCTCCCAACACTACTCTTAACTAGTCTTATAAGTGTCCAACAATACTAATCAGGGATGCCAAACGATTACAATTTCATAGATTTCGTACCGCATCCGTTTCAATTAGGGCGGGGATGAGTATAACTTTAGTGGGTAGTGGACGGATGTAGATTTAGAAAGTGATACCCGTCACGGGTAATGGGCGAGTGATGGGTTTGAGATCTTACCACCCCGCATCCGCCCGCCCGCCCGCCCGCATACTAAATATCTATTTAATTTTGGACCATTATAAATTTAGGTATAATTTAAGGATTGTCATTTTATGTGTGCCAAAGAACAAAAATACTACGTGTTTGTCATTTATGTTTTTTTTGCTTTAATTATGTCTTTTATTGTGGTGTTTTATGTACTTTAAGATATATGTTAACAATTAATTCAGATAATCTTTGGTTTATTTTATTATATTTTTTTAATGTACGTGTTTGTTTTATGTTTGTTGTTTATGTATAACTTAAGGTTGTTGTCACCGTAGGTATAGTCGAATACGTCTTCAGTTGGATAATGAATGTGGAGATAAATTTCAAAATGTACCTACGTGGGTAGATGTGAATTTAATTTTTTTTTTATTATAAGTAGTAAGCGAACGATAAATTTAAAAATATTAAGTGAATAAGAAGATAAAAAAGGTTATCCACACGGACAGCACCAACATGCCGGTTTGCCATCCCTAGCTCTAACTTGTCTTCTATAAAACAAATTTCCAGAATTTTATATTATTTAAGGAGTAATATATTGTGGTCCATTACTCCTCTAATTTCTCCCTCTTCAAAGTTTGTCATTTTCTTCCTAGAAAAAAAATCCCA